GAAAGGGAGTTATTAACGATCAAACAGTGTTAGCATTTTTTTGGGACACCCTGTACTTTACGGACACCCTGTATAAGTTCCAGGATATCTTAAAAATCCAAGTTAGCCTTGTAAAACTATTGAAGGTTTTTTTGGTGCCGCTAAGCTTCCTCTTCCTGAAAACTCGGAGCTGGGTTCCGCAAGAATTTCAATCTCCTCCCCCTCATAAAATAAAACTTCTGTGCCGGCACGAAGACACGTATAACAAAGTGTGAGTTACATATTATATCTCATTTATGAGTCACAAGTCCTTAAAAATCAGCACTTTGCCTCGTGCTCGACGGTACCGTGATTGTTTCTCATTTCCTTAACCGGCTTTGAAAGCTTCGATAATCTTTCTGAAAGTCTTGAACTTTAAAAAAATTGCTATCGAATAAATGCAGCAAACACCAGAAAATTTCGAAAGCGTCTCAAAATTCATATCAGTGACTATTTCTTATTTAAAGCTGATTACACCGCTCAAAGGCAAAAATTGTGTCCTCCATGATCCGCAGCTATCGGTTCTTCTACAGCAACAAGAGTAACACTACCTGTGCAAGAAAAGTAAGGATTAGGAATCATTGTCTGCTTTGTCACAAAAAACTCACGTTGCAAAAGAAAAGAATGACGAGTTTGACTTTCAATAAAAACGGAACGTTAAACCTGTTTTTTCCATTTTAAAACAAGGCACTTTGCTCGCAAAAAAAAAAACAGCAACAAATGCTGCGCGATAAGAGCCGACGGTTTTATTCTCAATTTATAATTATGCAAGCGTTGAAACAGAAGCCTGCTATTTAGTGCAAGGTATATCACGAGGGTCCATTTAGTCAACAGAAAACTGTTGTGAAGTCGTTCTAACAGTTATTGATTGTCAGTGAAAGAGTTTATACACTATTGTTTTTCGAAATGCGAGTTTCGAAGAACACATAACTGGAAAAGAACGGTTTAAAATGTTCAGTCTGAAGACACTGTCATTACTTTTGCTTCTAGCATAGTTCTTTAAACCCCGTAAGAATTTAGCGCTGCTACGTGCTTTAGATGTCTTTGATATAAGCCTTTGAATTTCCTTTAACTTTCAATCCTTCAAAGTGAAATTTTCTAAAACCATAGTTCTTTCTGTTCAATGGCAGCGTTGCGCAAAACTTGAAAGGTTGCAAGTTTTCTTTTTGATCTGAGTGCCATTCCACATCAATTTGACAGGCTATCAGACATAAACTACAACCATTCACAATTAAACGATACATGCAGTTTGATGTCTGCGTAATTCTACCCTACATCGCAAAGAGCCTTTTCATGTTACTGCTCTGTTATAACACACCTGGAATTCCAAGAAAATGTTTATCTTTGTGGAGTAGTTGAGGCTGTATGATATAAATCACGGTGATTAGCATGGAAAACTTCTCTCACCCGTGCATCCCCTGAGAATAAATGTCTCAGCCAGCACTTTTATTGCTAACCAAACCATGCATGTAAGAGCGGAAACACGGAGCAGCTCTTCTCATTCTTCTCGTCCGTCTTACATAAGTAAAGCGGAACGAAAATAATAATTTTTTGTTGATTCGATAGTCCTAAGTTAGTTGAGAAGGGAAAATTAAGTGGTCAACATACAAGTGCTCAAACACAAGGTTCTTTCCTTTCTGTTATTCTAGTGGATTGCCTTATAAGGTTATGTCATGAACTACTCACATGCAGCTTGTCAAAGAAGTTGTAAATAACAAACGTTTCGAGTTTTCTGAAGTAAAAAATTAGTAGCCACACAGAAATAAAACCAGTAGAAACAACCAAAAAATTCTCATCTTTTCATCTTCTGCTTAGACCAAAGCCTGAATTTTTGACTTCACGTCTTTTCCAAAATGGCAACGCGGGAGGGATCCGAACCATTCTGCTGCCTATAGCAATGCGGAAATAGACTTTTTTGTTTTTGTGACTTACGCAAAGCAAAAAATTTCGGCTCTACTCCACCCGTTCCTTAGAAGCGAGCCGAAACCATCGACCCAGACGCTCGCATTCTTCTGTCGTCTGAACAGCGGCAGACGTGAAAAATTTGCGTTCTGGTTTGGCTAGGTAATCGAGGTTATGAAGTTTGAGGGAACTAAATTCAAGTACATTTTGAGAGCTATTATCACCTGACGATTAGTCCGTTTTTCTATGGCACAAAAATCTACAAAGAATATCAATCAGGCAAATTCTGAAGAAAGACCAGTCTCTGAGTTCTTTCACATATTTGTTTCGTGCCGAAGCCGCGGAAACCATTTATGAGATTACCTAATATATTCAGAAAAATAGAGGCATTTCCAGCACTGTTTTCCCAGTAAAAAGAGGAGAAAGTCATAAAAATGTAGCACTTTTGGTACCTGAAACGTAATACAGCTAACAAGGGAACGTGCCGAGTCAAAGGTGGCCTTGCCAGATGAGACCCATACCGCTTTGAAGAGCATTAATCGGTGATTCCAAATCTGCTTTTCAAATCTGCCAAGCGCCAGTGGACGCCGTTATTCTCGTTTTTCAGGTCAAAAAAGCGAACGCAAAACTGAAACAAAATCGCCCAAATTTGTGCTGAAATGGTTCAGTGTTAGGATCGAACTGTTTGGCAATGACATTTTATTTAATATGCTAATACTTAATATTGCTTTATCTGAGCGCTGGAAAGATTGCAACAATCAATTATACCTAAATTCTGCTCATTATTCGTTCTGAGGAACGGTCATAACTCGGCGTTCAGAGGCGCTTGGCAGATTTGGAAGGCAGATTTGGAATCACCGTCTAATACTCCTCAAAGCAGTTAGGGTCTCATCTGGAAAGGCCACTTCGACTCGACACGGTTTTCTTGCAAGTAAATTTTCTAAATGTGCCAAAAATGCAGGAAAACACTGCCTCAAAGAGCTCATGAAATAAACTTTTTTTAAACGTAAATCGTTTTTTTAAACGTAATTGCTATGCGTAAACTCTAAATGACACAAAATCATGTGTTTCTCGAAGTGAGGGCGAAGACATAAACTTGACCTCCGCAATGGAACGACCTTAGAGAATGTATTATTTTGTAGGCAAACCATGACGATCCATAGATTAGCCACACTAGCCTAAAAAGATTTGGCTCCACGCAATTCAATTTCATTACCTAGGATAACGCAAGAATCTTCTAGCATCTCTTGGTCATAATCCAAAATGGCGCGCTATGGCGGTGATACTTGTCCTAGTGTTGTTTTAGAAAGCTTCCATAGATAGTAATTGCGAAAACATCTCTTAAGCTTTATTTCAGCCAATGTTCGTTAGCGAGTAACAATATTTTGTTTCTCAAATAGCATAAATTATTGCATTTTTGATCGGACCATTAACGAGAACTAAAATAAACTGAACAATTTTATGTAGATAGCTTTTGCATATCAACTCACAACGGCGACTTTTGGTAAAAGCTTGGCCAACATTTACATGAACAAAGTCAACGTTGGTACTACTCGTGATGCGTTACTTTGGCAAGTTCTGTCCATGCACACATTCAATTTTTGTGGACAATTGAAGATAAAGCAATTCCGAAACCAATCACAGGTTTGACTGTAAACTTTCCACTAAATAATTTGATTGCGAGTTATCTGCGTTTCAAGTGTTTCTTTCTACTTGTAAGCAGATTTCTGAAGAAGTGCGTAATTGCAATTTGGCCCGATCTACTTAACAAATTGTTGACATCCCTCCCACTGACGTGTTGATTCAAGTAATTCTGAAAAAAAAACCGTGCGTGTTTTTTGCATTGTCAAAAAGACTTCCATATAGTGATTTCGAGCATACGTGCGTATGCACAAATTCACTATATTGAAGTCTTTCTGACGCTTGTTCATGAAACATGCAAACCATTATTTTTAAAATTACTTGTACCTTACAGAGTCTTATCAGGAATTACATGCACGAAGATTTCTGCATCATTTGCTCCTTCAATAAACTATGCAATGGCTATGTGTGAGAATCTCTTTCTGGAGAAAGCGTTATAATGTTGTGTTGTTTTTGCCCAAGTTCATCTTTGATTCCTCTCAGAACAGTTGTACAAGTCCCAACCTTCTCACAAGGGAAAGATTGTTGATCGAGATAGCGTTCCCATATGAAATGTATATTGTGTTAAAGAGCATGGAACACTGATTTTAAAGGCACTTTTCGGTGGGATTGCTGAGCTTAACCAAGATTGGTATGATTACTTTTATTGGCTGACGTCGACGTTTCGGCGATCTACGCCTTCTTCTGAGCTTGGAAAGAGAAGTCATAAGTGTCTATTCACTCAGACGTCAAGGGCCAAGAACATACAACAATGCCAAGATTCAAGGAAAGCCGAACCTATACCGTACTGATTTCAAATCTGCTCTCGTTATCTGCAAAGCTCTTTTGAGAAAAGAATTATGGGACTTTCTTTAAGCAGAAATTTGCATCCGAGGCTACAATAAAATCACTGTGTTGCAGTGAGTTAAATGGGGCTATGATTACTGCCAGGGTGCTTAGTGTAATTAATTATTAGCTTCAGTCCAATAATTTATGCCGTCATTACTTCCTTCAAGCATTGGAAGACTCAACGCCTGTTTTTACCTCAGCCAAGCTCTTGAATTTTGTTTAAAAACATTCCCATTATTCCCAGAAAAGCTGTGCAGATAATAAAAGCAGATTCGGAATCAGCGTTCCATGAGCTATAAGACATTGTACATTTCATATGGAAACTCCACTTCGGCCAAGTATGTTTCCCTTGTCAATAAAACACAACTGACACATTTCAACAGCTAAACTTGCGTTCTAACTTTTGTAGAGCTACCGCGATGACTCTATATGACTCATCGTGCACTTCCATAATCTACTAATTTTGAACTTTCGACCGTGGGACAAAGAACAGAATTGTGTTAGCATGGTAAGATAAGCATACCAGCTATTCCCTAGTACATTGTTAAAATGTGAAAATTGCTGATAACTGAATAATATTGCTGTTGCTGTGTGGTGAAAACATTGACTAACTCGCATCATAATAACTTCATACTGGTATGTTGCGCAAAAAGCTCAGTTAGGTACAGGACCAGGAATCTCTCCACGCAGGTTCTTCTGTTGATCATCGGGACAGTCCTCACAGACACATCTCCATCTCCAAAATCTTCCTACTTTTTCGCAGTGTGCGTTTTGGCAATTCTGAATTTCAATTCAATGAATCAATTCTTAAATGATTCGATTAGATGAGTAAATAGGCATACTAATTGCTCCAAGCAATGTGCTATGCACTTAGAATCTTGGACGGTAACACTGGAGCAAATGCTCGGCACATACACAGTCGCCTCGTCTGAGATTTCCAAAACGAATAACAGCAGTGAAAATGCAACAAAATGACGCAACATTTCCTAAAAAAAGAAGAATGATTATTTTCGAATTTCATTTGATATTGATATAGTGCAATATAATAGGAAAGATTCAAAACTTTACCTGTTTTGTTTGGCTAGGTATTATTATAGCTCATTTCAACATACAATACCGCTCGCATGTCCTGGAGCAAACGATGCAGAGTCGCCCGATTCACGTGACATCGCCGTAGCGTGACCATATCTCTCTTCAGAGTGGAAATTCTTGATCCAAGGGCACCATTCAACTCAACTCGGCGCGCGCATATTCTGATGTATTGAAGTGCCTGCTTGAACATAGTAGGAGGCCAGATTTCACGATTCGTTCCAATTTTTTGCTCACGGTGGGTTGCCCAGTGAGTGCAATGAATAAGCGCACCGGGTAACCTACCGTAAGCAAAAATCTAAAACGATTCCTACCTGGCTCCCACTGTGTCCAAGCGGACACTTCTGAGCATTGGAAGATGCGCCGCGCCGAGCCGAATCGAATGCTGTCCTTGAATCAAGAATTTGTCCACACTAAAGCGAGATATAGACATGCGACGGTGACGTCACTTAATTCGGGCGACCGTGCGTCATTTTTTCAAAAAATACGGTATTGTATGATGTTTGTGTGTTAGGCCAGCTTCCACACCAGTTTTTAGGCACTAAAAATGTTCAGATTGCGTGGTTCTGCATCAGCCAACCTGTTCTGACTTTTCTTGAAAGACTCACTACCAGGAAAACTATCTATCGCAGTTATTGATCACAATCAGGGCCCAAGAAAATTAAAGCCCAAGAAAATTCATTTACAAGACTAATTTGAATTTGCAAAGAGTTCAAGTATCACTTCAATACTTATAAACTACTTACTTAAATAAACAAGTAAATGCACAGCTTACTTTTGTAAAATTCTGCTTCTACCTTTTAAGGCTAAATGCAAGTACGAGCCAGAGTTTGGAGATCGCGAAGCATAGAGAGATCTTTTGCGAATGTCTAGTTGACGTACTATTATTTCTTCCATATAGATGTTGCTTTTTTATTTTGTTCTCAAACTTTGCTTGCGTTTCTGTTGCCAGAAAATCCATACCAATGCAGCGTTATTGCATTTTGGGTTGGTTTGAAAAATGCAGCTGAGAATGTACGGTAAGAGGAATAACTCGAGAGCGTAAAGAAGTGCACGAAGATTCAAAATGACTCCGCCAATAGCAATTCGCATCATTTATTAGTACGGAAGTTTCGTTATTGAATTGGTACGCCCTCTACTAAAACCATTATCTTTGCCAATGCATGAGCGAATAGAAACTGTCAGTGCTATCGTACCACCTTTTCATCAATATAATGATGTTAAGCGCTCGAAATCGCTGATATTAGATGCTTTGTGCTTACTAAGGTACAGGCGATGTCACATGTTTGGCGCTGACTAGGACTTTTAACCCTGTGGCATGTCGATTCTGCAATGTCATATGTAGAAAAATAGAGATGGCATTAAAAATTCGAAGCTGACTTGATAAGAGGTTTTGCTCAATTTCATTTTTGATGTTATTTCCGAAACAAATTGTAGCTTTTGAACTAATCTCGTCTCTTTTGAGAATCACGTAATTATACAGGGTGTCCCAAAGGAAAAATATGAACCGCTGTTTGATCATTAGTGACCCCCTTGCTTTCATGTCTTTCGGCGAACATCAGGTATCACTCTGTAGGAAGAGGTTCAGCTTACATAGATACGCAGTATGGACCAGATTACCAGTCACTTACTATTAGGTCGTTCCGAAAGTTTTTTCCGTTTTTTCAACCCATCATAAAAATACGTGGAATGAAGTTAGGGAAACGCTTTAAGCACTGTTCGGCGCAGCTTTTCTTCCTCTTTTCAACTGTCATATCCCTGTGTCGCTTGCTCTTGCGATCAGTGAGATAATGTTCGAATTTTCGAACCCATGGTTTTCACGATACCCAAATTTGGCAATTTTTCACGATCTTCTTTTTTGACTTTTGGAGAAGCTTTAATAGCAGTCGGATAGAGTAAAAAAAGTGCAATTTAATGGAATTTTTTGGCATCTATTGCTAACCTTAAAATTTTTTCTAGAATTATTTTTCTGATGCTATCAAATTCTACTTTTGATGATGCTAAGAACCACAGAATATAAAACGGCGCACAACTAAAGTGTCATTCGATGCAGCTTTTTCTCCTCTTTCTATTGAGTATCTTTCTTCCCAATTTGTGGGAGTTTTTGGCGATAAAATTTCCATAATTCTTGATTTGAATCCGCCTAAGGGTATACACTTGAACAGCGAAATCTTACATTTTGAAGCGGTAAACACTCAGTTACTTTGTAAAAATAGTGGACAATCATAAACGACTTTTGAAAGTATCGAAATCCGAAGCTTTGTTAATGTTCGGAGCGTTTTTGTTTTTTGTGATTTCGAAAAAATGAAAACTTCTGGAAAAATTATCTCAAAAAATACTAAGAAGCCAGTCAAAGTTGCCAAATTCTATTAGATTGCACTTTGTTTACTCTATCTGAGTGCTATTGAAGCTTTTCCAAAATTCAAAAAAGAAGGATGTGAAAAATTGCCAAAGTTGGACACCACGAAAACCATGGGTTCGAAATTTCAGACATTATCTCACTGATCACAAGAGCAAGCGGCATATGTATTTGACATTTGAAAAGAGGAAGAAAAGCTGCGTCGGATAGTGCCCAAGTGTTTCCCTACCTTCATTCCTCGTGTTTTTATGATAGGTTGAAAAAACGGAAAGAACTTTCGGAACGACCTAATAATATAGAATTACGGTATGAAATCAGCATAAAGCGAATTTTTCCATCAAATGGCCTATGAAATAGGCCATTTGATGGAATAAATTCCAAAAGAAATCTGGTTTGTGTAGCAAGGCTTTCTGGCGTGTAAAGTGCGGTTCATAATTATACGAACACCCAAAATTTTGTAAGTTTTCTGAATTTTTGGGAGAATCTCAAAAAGCCGTTGGTACCACACGATGGAACACAGCCGGAAACGGTAGATGATCCATGAGAATGGAAACTGATGTCAATCTTAAGAGTACTGTTACTCTTCGACTGTTTAGCGACAACCGAGATTGGTAATTTATTTATTTAGGTTAACGTTTCGGCAATAATTCGCCTTCTTCAGAGCCTGAAATGGGCGAAAACAATTTACAGATTACCCGATCAAACTCTCCTCAACCCTACAGGAAATTCTAAGCTTTCTTTCGACCACGAGTAGGCTGCCATACGCAGTACTCACCTTTCGTTCGCCGGTAAAGTTCTGGTGAGTACGACCGAGTGCTTACTGATCGCTTGAGCAAGGAATCAAACATGTCTTCACTTGATCAAAAGATCTGATTAAGATACGGTGCGAGTTCTCGTGTGATAGAGAGACACTCTTCTTTGCGGTTCATTTTAGGGTTTCTAAAATGAATCCAAAAGTCTTCTAGAGTTTTGCGAGTGGATATTTGAGCTTCGCGCGCTAAAATCTCTACTTTCACTTCAAAATCAACTCCTTGATGATCTTGCACTCTGTGGGCGCCCAATGGAGTGGATGTGCGTAATCTCTCTTTACCATTAAGATGTTCTTTAATACGTTGCTCAGAGAGCGTGCCGTTTCTCCGATGTATTCGTTTCCGCAATCTTTGCATGATATGAGGTATACAACACCCGTAGTCATGCAGTCTCCGTCCCTTGCTGTTGGACATATCGGGCAGTTTGGAGCATAGATGCGATAGGTGGAGAAATTTCTCTGACCCCTTCACTTTACGGCCGGCATCTGGCTGACCCCTTTCACCTGAGGTTGAGACTAATCAAGGCAAACAGCTATTACAACGGAACTTTTGTTTGGAAAGGAAACGCCAGTTGCTTTTCTCCTCAGACATCAAGACTGCAAGAGAGTATCGAATCAACAACGTTTCGTTAAAAAACGCATGCTTGAGACCTTCTGCGCGCTCAAAGGGCGTTGATAACGAAACGTAATCAAAAAGTAAAAGGTGATTTTTTGAATAATTAACATTGTATCAATGAATACATACTTTGCAAAAAAGAGTTGAGCAAGAGTACAAAAATCTGAACCGACTAGCGATGGATGCATGTTTACTGACAAGAAATCATTCCATATCTCTTTTCACTAGAGAGAATAATAACAAACAAAACAACAGTCAGATTACTCGTTTTTCATGCTTTCGATTCATATATAAAAGTTCGAAAAAGACCTTCTTGGTTCGAAAATATAATTATCCAAAATTAGCTGATATTGTAGCTAGAACTGCTCGCATCTCGCTTCACAGAGATGCTACAAAAAAGAGACGGTCTACGTCGATTCCTCGCGTTCTTAGCTATCGAATGGTATAAAAGGTGTTGGCGCACAAAGCTTTCCCAGTCCAAAAAAGTCTTGCTCCGGCAAACCATAGAAAGCCGGAGCGGGGCGGAGCAAGTTACTATTGAATATCTCCACCTCATTTTTGAGAAAGCACAAGTTTTTTTACCCCACAACCTGTATACCATTAGAAAGTCCACAAAAAAGGATTCGACGTAGACCGTCTCTTTTCCTCTAGCTCCCCTCTACTTAGAGTTACACGGGATTTAACCCAAAAAGATGTGTGTTTTGTCGAGAAATTTCTGCGTGAAGAATGGATAAAAGTGCCTGATTTTCTAATTGCATCACAGAGCAAGACCTTGCCAGTAAACGTAGACCGTCTCTTTTTTTTTAATCTTTGTTCTTTCTTTCAAAAATAAATTACAAATTAATTACACAAAATCAGCTGGTGAGTAGGCGTATAAAATCGCTCGTATCTCGCTCTACAAAGAAGCTATGAAAAAAGAGACGGTCTACGTCGATTCTCCATAATCTCAGCTTTCGAAAGGTGTAAAGCATGTTAAGGCTTTTTTGCTTCCCGGCTCTAAAAAGCACTTGCTCTGGTGACCGATAAAAGCCAATACATTGGGGGAGCTGGGTGGAGCCAGCTAATAGTAAATACCTCCACACCATTTTTAAAAACTGTCAAGTTTTTTCGCTCAG